GGGGACGTTTCGCGGACATGAAAAGGGACTTCCGAATTTTCTCAAATTTATTGGAAACTCGACTCTTCGTCGAACACGCGTATCTCCTAAGAAAAGAGGGAGACTTATATACGTACCTATCTATGCACGTGTGTGTACACGTATGTATATATATATATATATATATATATATATATATATATATATATATATATATATATAAGCATATGAACTGTACATAACCATGTGTCTTTCCACTCCCGGTGGTTTCCGTAAATTGTGCAGGATGCTGGAGGCACTCTTGTATTTTTCAATCAGTCGCGAATAGGAACGCCCCACGTTCTCCAGGGAGATAATGCAGCGTCGTTTCAGCATCCTGGCCAGGACCAAAAGTGCGGAAACATAAAATTCCGTATCGAGGAAACTCCAATCCGCTTGCCAGGGTTACTTGGAGACCGTATACGTAATATAGCAACAAATAGTTACGAAGCGCATGCGCATACAGATCTTCATTTGTATACGGATAAGAGAAGGGAATACTCCCTTATTTTTATTTATGCAGTGAAAAATTCAATTCGCACTGAATGAAACTAGTTTTCTCCTTTCTACTTTGATTTCCCCTATCAAAATTTTATATAGCAAATATCCATATACATAGCTATACGTATAACTGACTATGTAGATACATACGAGGCGGTCATATGTATGCTATCTATATATTCAACCAGTTATCCTCAAAGCGTGAGAGCGAAAAGAATTGAATGCTTTTGTTCGCTCGGTCGACTAATTATTTTCACATCAACGCCCCTTTTCGGCACGTCATTCCGTTCCGCACGCACGATAACTTTCCGCAGCGTCCATGTTGCATTTCGCTAATGTCTTTATCACGAGCTGAGGCTGCGCTTCTCTCCGAGGGCACAATTTGTTGCCTCCTAATGATTCCGTGAGTCTGGAGTTTCACACGTCCTAGGAACACTACAGCTCGTTACTTGGACTCACTGTGCTTTTTCTCATTTCTGCTTGGTTGGCTTGGACAACCAGGTGTTATCTAGGCAATCAAGTAATTATTTATCTTTCAGAGCACAAGACGTATCGTTCTGTTATAGGAAAACAGATGAGGGGCCTACACGTTACTTGAGCGATTAATACGTGCGGTACAAATAATAGGACAATTTTATATTTATAAGTATGCACTGAGAGAAAAGTATATAGTTGACTTAACGATACATTATAAAAGAACTATAGGAAGGGTTGTAATATTTTATGTTCGAAGCGATGATAATATATTTGAATACGCGATAAGAGCAAAGTTATTTGAAAAAGAATTTTCAAATATATATGCAACAAGATAGTATATACAAAATTGTTATGTTTATGATTATAACTACTATAATTATTTGCACCAGTCTCGATTTGTGGTTTATGCAACAATTTTTAAATTTTTGGAATAACTATAAAATATAGACGTCACCGCAGGGAATTATATTTTATAGTAAGTTTATCGTCAGACTGACTACATTTCTTTTAGTACAACAATATATTTCTCTGAGCGTGTAATTGTAAATGTATAATACGGGATTGGATTACGTAAACTGAAAAATTGTAAACTTTCAATTTCATTCTGTTTTAATGTGAAAATGAATATTTTGGAAATTTTCACAAATACCTCAAATTTTACATGACCCTATAGAATTTCTGGATGGCTTATGTTTATGTGTGTTGGTCTATTCAGCACCCAGATCAAACCTTTATTATCCTCAGGAACGCGTTTATCCCAGAAGCCGACTCATTGTTCGTCCGACACCCTTGTCTCATTACATTAATTAACCCTTTTGCCTTAATTTGAAAGACAGGTTGCACTGGAATGCGGGTAATCTTACACTAGACTAATCTTAGAAACTGTTTAATGCCGGCATCGTCAAAATTTACTATACACCCCTTGTTCCAATATTAGAGCATCTCTCATATTGTACTTGACCATCCTTAATGAAATTGTGTAAATTTTTAATTCGTCAGATATTTAAATAAATGCTTTTTATTTGAGTGTGAAATTCAAAATTCCATGTCATCTCTCGTCACTCAATGACATATTTCACGTAGGAATGAATTTTCGAGTAATTTTTCCATCCCCTATCGTATCGCGTTGCTCTCGTTCTTTAACGTCGATATTGCTGACTCTCCATTCAATACGTCCGATATCCTGGTTTGTTTTCGACTCGTACACTTCTATCCGGACGTCACGCGAATTATTTTTTTGCTCTCTTTTTCTTTTTTTCGCCCTGTTTTCAAATTTCCCGATTTTAGAACGCCTGTATAATTGACAGGATTTTAGCTCTCGACCGAGCGGTTTTTGTTCGATTTATCGTTTTCATTTCCAAGATTTTAATGAGTGCCCGAGGCTCCGCAAGTGAATGCAGAAACTGCGTTCGCGTGTGAAATTACAATCGATATACATGTACGAGATGGCACAAAGACCGTAGGAATAAAGGAAAAAAATACACACGGTGGCACGGAAGAGTTCGCGTCAACTTACCGGCGAGAAATTATTCTACCGAGAATTATCTGCGACCGATTCTCTTTGTTAAAGGCTGCCATTAAAAACCATGTTTCTTTTTCGATTTTCCAAAAATCAAAGTTAAACATCTATGGTCATCCAGATTTATTAATCGTATATCGCCAATTCATAGACTCGTTCGTTACTGAGGTCGGGTGCTCGCGACTTTGATTAATGAAAAATCAATACGAGCTCTGACATACCATTAAACCTGTAGTTGACCGTATGTTACATACATTGATGACGTACTGTGGATCGATGAAATATTAATTGACCCAGTTTAACTGATAAACTAAATTCAACGCATTATCCACGACGAACTTGAAGATACAATAGCTTCTTAATATACCGATTGACTCTTAAAGAATTATGCAACCATTAACATGTCTCTAATTTTAAGTCAGCAAACATTCGAAAAACAAGACCGCGGTGTTAGATCTAAAGAACGCCCAGCGGTAAGAATGCATCTTTCATATACGCGCCCTAAGTAATTTGCATATGTGCAAGTAGTAGAAAAAAAAAGAGGAAGAAAAAAAAAGAAAGGAACAGCTAGAAGAAGAAGTACAACAACAAATGAACCCGCATGCCGCCTACGTAATGTACAGTAGAAAAGTAATGCCGTGGTATGGTTGCAACGGTAGACAGCAGCAGCAGCGGCAGCAGAATCAGCACCGGATGATAAAATATGCCTCCACCCTTTTAAATAAAAGTGGACGCGAACGAACGAACGCGCGCCTATGTTTTATGCATATCCCTGAATAAAATATGATTACAAAGTCCTTTTGATTCAACATATGTAGCGGCTTTCCTCGGCCCCGACCCACGAAACTGCCGAGTGCAGGTATTTGCCATAGACGTATATTTTTTAATATATCCGCTGTGTGCGTTTCACTTGGATCGCGAACCGCTATATTTTTCGTGCGCCAAATGAAAAATACAAGCGCAAGGCAGACGCTGCTGTGCGCGAGGCCAACGATGAATAACTCCGTTTCAGCCTCCTGTTAAAGTGCGTATTCTCCTTTCTCCGTATTTACCAGTTTAAAACCACCCCCGGAGCTTCGCTCTCGGCGACTCCTTCACCCAGCGCAGCCCCCCGGTAGAGTACTCCGTCTCGTCTCGTAGAAAGTAAATCGTACTCGAAGGACGAGATTATTGCATCCAAAGCGAAGGGATAAATATTTGAGTAAATATTCCAAACGATTATTAAAAACATTCTTAGACAAACAAGGGTGATAGGGGGGATGCATTGTCAGAACTGCAACATCTCCTTTCCCAATATCCACAATCCTATATGCGTATTGTGGCTCATACCTTCTGTCAAAGTTTTATCAGTCGTACGTTGGCCATCCTGTTGGATACTTATCCGTTTGTTCTGTCTTCATCGACGTGTTCAAACGTCTTACAGGACTATGAATCAGTGATCGCACGATTCCGCAACGCGGAACAAGTCAGCAGAATTATCAGCAGCAGAATTATATCCAAGACTACGTATGTGCTGCTCGGGTAGCACGGCAATAAATGTTTCATAATTGGCGCGATCACGGTTTTCAAATGAATGTTTCATTTCGTGTCTAGGAAGTTTTGATTAGACTAGACAGTTCGGGTCGAGCGTGAAACCTTCCGTACATTGCACGAACGATGGACGTTAGAAGTCGTGAAACATAAATGCTTTTCGGATGAGCTAGTAACTTGGTTCGTTGAGAAAAAAAAAGTTCCCTAGGAATCAAATCCGAGATATATACCGTAAGCGATTCGCTTCACCTCTTGGATTTTTTTTTTCTGACGTGCCCAAGGAAAAGCTGAAAATTTTTCAGAAACGCCAATTCCACCAGTCTTCCCGAACTTCGTATTCGAAATCCCATCCTACGATTACCTACATACGTGCCTGGGTCTCCCATCCTCTCTATCTATACGTCTAACGTATATGCAGTATATCTATATACGTATAGTCATCTTAGAAAGTTCTTTCCTCTCTCCCGTGAACCCGACAATCCCACATTAAGATTCCGTCTACGAAACGCCACAACGCGTCATTGTAAAACGACTTGAGGCATAACGCTTATTGATTCTGAATTGCGTGACGTGTCCCTCACAGGCTGCCTCGTCCTATTAACGTAACGTTAAGAGACTGACCGTTTGTACGAATATTCCGAAACGAATACGCCAATGGATACTGATTACGTAATGGGAAATGGATCTAGCAGGAAGTGGGGAAGTTTTTGTGAATCAAGGTAATCGTGTCGCTCGGTCGCTCGATTGAAACAGCCATTATAAAGTGCGTGCATTTTTTAAATTCCTTATATAAATATATATCTATAGATACTGTCTAGTAGTAAATTCATTTATAACGATGCCCGTCCGTCGTCATCTCCATTCGAAACTGCGTGGCGACCAAGTATTTTTTTTTCGTGCTGTCGAGTATCGCGAACAATGCATGTCTAACCAAGTGTCATCCCTTTTGTTTCAGCACAATACAGATCTCCACGCATAACGGAGCACCCATCGGACATAATCGTCGCGAAAAATGAGCCAGTGACGCTCAACTGTAAAGCTGAGGGTAAGCCTGATCCAAGTATAGAGTGGTACAAGGATGGCGAACCTGTTCAGACGTCGCCCGGGGATGCAAAGTCGCACAGGGTTTTACTTCCTACGGGATCCTTATTCTTCCTGAGGGTGATGCACGGCAAGAAGGAACAGGACGGTGGCGTGTACTGGTGTGTTGCCAAGAATGTCGCCGGAAGTGTCAACAGCAGGAACGCCACTCTCACCGTTGCAGGTAAGTTCACATATATATATATATATATTGATATAAGACTTGATCCTAGAAGCTCAAACTTTTCTGAACTACGGATAAGATGCCAATCTGTTGTTAAAGCCTTTTGCTATAGGGGTATTTACGTGATATCGGTACCCGTCCAAGAGTCGTGTCCGTGAATTTATATGAAACAGGTAAAAGAAGAAAAATTTAACGAAAAATTATACCGAGATCGTAAACCAAATAACTCTGTCGAAATAATTACTCGAATCACGTGGCATGGGCATACCAACGTTGAAAACATAGAAACAGAAGCGTGACTATGAGGAAACGAAAAGTAAATTGAAAAAAATATAAACGAAATACTCTGCCTGATAAAGTCATAAAAGTGGCAATTAAAGGTCTATAAAAGTACCGCGATGGAGGGAGGGCGAGTTTCTCCGATAGTTGTTATCGTCAGGAGAATCAATAGGTCTCTATAGAAGTTTACGACCTAATATCAATCGCACAATTGGCCGTAATCGGCAATAACGTAATTATACGAAAAAAGGAAATGAGCAACGTAAAAAGAACGTTATAATAGCGGAACAAATGATTTCACCCGTTGGGATTAGATAACGTATATTAGAGTGGTATACGGAAGGTCCTTTTTTATCACGTAGTTGCATAATTTTCACGTAAAACCTCCTGAGGATAATTAGCATTAATTATGATACGATAACCGGTACCAGCTTGTTTACAATTGCCTGACTTATCAGCCAGCATAATTCCGCGGCACACGTACGCTATCTTATCCTTTGGTTTGCTCGGTGCACGAATCACGAAATGCCAGCACGAATCACGTTCCTACGTTAATTGTCAAGCGAGTCGTTATAACAGCTGATATTTTCACGCTCGCCACTAACTTATTTGCGCTGAGTCTCCTAATCGATAAGTTAAAATTAATTTTTAATATAACCCGAGAAAAATTCTTTAGTACGCAATGTATCAGTAATTAATCATTCTAAAGTATAGTTAGAGTTGCACATGAGACTGTTCCATACTGCTGGCATACTTCGAGAATGCATTACTAAATTCTGGCACAGGTATAGCTTAGATCTATATGCATATACTATGCCATACCGAAAACTGTGCAAACGATCTAAAGCACGTGCCCCAGTATCATATTTGTATTGTCAGGCAAATGACAAACACCGCAGACAAGGGAACTATATCTACGACAAGAAAAAGTTTGAAATTGTGTAGAGAGCGTCAACGACGCCTTAGAGTAAAGACCATTTTCAAGTCATTTCAAAGAATCGTTGATGCTCACTGTACTAATTGTAATTGGAAAATTGGTCACAGGAGGGCAGCGCTTGTCGATCAGCACTCGAGTGGGAGGTGGTACTGGTTGCTGTGCCGAAAGATATATCGGCGTGTAAATATACACGAATATCTTTCGAAAGCCGATCTCCTATATCGAACTGTTGGATCGCGCGTCCTTCCGTTCTTCCCTCGCCCTTCTCTCTCTCTCTCTGTCTCTCTCTCTCTCTCTCTCTCTCCCTCTGTATCTACATATATCTTTCTCCTTTTGCAATTCATTCATCGCTTCTTCACCTTCTTTCCATCTTTTTTTTTCCAAGGCATATTCACTTGTTCATCTGCTTCTTCTCTCTTTCCCTCTGTTTCTTCCTTTCTGTTACCTATTCTTCCAATGTCTTCCGCTGGGCTATCTCCTCTTGGTGATATCACTGTGGTATCAGTGTCAACTCCTTAGGAAATACGCTAAGACGGTTTGAGCCATGGGCAGTCATGGGTTGGCGTCGATGTTCCTTACTGCACTTTCCAGGGAAGCGATCGCGTCAGTCTGCGTTCGCTTGTGCTACTCCACTTAGCGTATGGGTGCACTTAAAGTCACCTGGTACCTTCTAATCACCCTCTGTTGGGAACACTTTGCGCACTGGTCGACGGGTAACGGGGTTCCTTAGGTCTAGCCTGCTTCGAGCTTCGGCTTGTTATGGGAAGGGACGGAGCATGCAAGCGTAACTTTTGATCGCTTGAGGATCTTCCGACAAAGGTCAGACGCTGCTCTCGCGATCTTTCCTTGCGACCGACTCGAGTAGGGGCTGATCGCGATTCTTTTTTAGCCCGACTCCCTCTTTCGGTATTCCGAGTCTGTGACGGAAGCATACGTAACTGCGCTTGGTCCAGTAATAATAATAATAACGTTTGTAACAATGATTCACTAGAAATACAGCACAGGTCAAGGCTATAACTATTTCAGATTTTGGTAACGCGTTTTGAAAATATACCCTTAGTATGGGGTAGTGGCTCACTGGCTATACACACTGGCTTATACACTTCTGAATGATCAACTGCAGATCGACTGCCTACTAAATAATTTTTATTCGGATAAAATTAACGATTGTCCACCTTATAATACGTGTGGGTTTCTTTGTGTTACGTATGGTACCACGTTGCTATGGTGGTACTGTTGTTTTTTTTCAGTACAGAGATTGCATACGCGACATGATAGATTTAGTATAAGGGATAAGTAGAAAGCGAATAAAAATATAGACGGCTGATCGTGACATTATACACGCAAATATTTTAGTAATTAGTTCACTATAAATTAAAAGGGATCTTAATGCAAAAGTAAGATCGTAATCGTGACTTCATTGCATCTCTTTGATAATTGCTTCTGCGACACGAATGGACCGTGATCAGCGACACAAGATTGCTCCTCGGTTATAATTACATAAATGACTTTCGCTCGATGATTAATTAATCCGCCGCTCGAGAACAAAGTTCGTTAGCTCAGCGAAAGTCCTCCCATTGGGAGACCAAAGAATTCGCATAAGAGAGTCTATGAAGTGTTAAATTCAACTTTCGCTTTAGTTGCAAAAATTTCGCACCAGAGTTTTAATGGCGCCACTAGTTGATCTTGTTCATCGTGAAAATGAAATAACGAACTTTCAGTATAATCTCTACCAGTTCACGTATATTATACTACAAGTTATACCATACGTATGTGTGGTAAAATCGCTAATAAATTACTCCGCAAGCTTTGGTACGCTTTCATTATTTCACGTCTAATCTAGATATAATTTTCCACGTCGCACAATTATATCCTCTAGCAATATATTCTCGATTGAAGATAAGCGCGGTATATACATATTCTTTATTTTATATTCAAAATCTTGACAATATTTAGACTCATAATCGAATTTAAAAAAAATGGTCTAAAAATATATATGGGTTATAGGAAATCAATAAGTCTCGGCAAATGAAAGCAAAAAAAAAACCAAAAAGTACATTTTACCAGGTTTACCTTCCCTGAATCAATACGTTTACCAAGTCAATTTATTTTCCGCAATATCGTGCTTTTAATGTATGTCAATCGTCCTAGCCGCTATATTGCGAAATCGCGGATAAAGCATCATATACATGGTGGCCAATAATTCTGATTTATATCTGACAGTAGAGAACTCGGTTGCGACCAACAAACGATAAGTTCTACTCGTTTCAAAATACATGATCGATAATTGCAATGAGTAACTGCAGTGTCGAATGAAGCGTAGAAATTTTCACGTTCAGTCACAATCCTCCAGAAGTAGATAGTCTGATAGCATATATATACTGTGACGTGATTTTTCGAATCACGGTCCCAAGGCGGCTCCGGTTACCGATACAGATAACGTTCTCGACGAAATTACATTACAATACATATATATACATATATTCTTCTCGTGTAATAAAATGGCTCTTGGCAACGAGATCCAGTAACGAGAAGGATGACACGCGTCGTTTCCCCGTGTAAGTCAGATATAAGTCGAAGGATTAATGAAGTTCGAATCTAACTCTCAGTGCTCGTACTCATTTTACATTTCACGATCGTAGCGAAGCAAACGAGTGTCGACTGTATAGCGTAGAAATTCACTGTCGAGGCAACGAGAATTCAGGATTAGTCGATTCGCCGTTAGAACGAATACAACATGTATATCTATACCTACATGCAAGCCGACTTCGCTAGCGTTAAATTACTAAACTTGAATAAGGTCCCTCGTTCCCAACCCAATGAGCTCGCCAATGAAAAGCATTCCTAAAGTATAATAGTTATTTGGTCAGTTGGATTCTAAAAATCTGAATAGTATCAAAGTAATTGAACGTTATATATGTTACTTCAGGTAAAAGAAGACTAGAATTGTTTTCATTGAATTTACAACTGAATTTTGTTAAAGATTCCAGACCATGCCGAACGGTAATTTATCGATAAGTCCCATAGGTCCCATTATTCCAAAAAGGGATGGCAGAATGAAAACTTGCGGCTGACTTCTTAAAAAAAAAAAAATAATAAAAAAAGGTGGCAAAGCCACGTATAAAGACCGCGGCATAGAAAGCGGGCCCTTTTCTCTTATAAAACCATCCTCCCTTCAGGCCTGAGATACATTATAATGCGTAGCTTACTGTTTTAATGGGGACGTATGTAGAGTAGCTGGCTATTGTCCCGAACGAAAAAAAAAAAAAGTTTTTCAGGCTCACCTGAACCAGATATACGTATACTGGGCGCCAAGCCATTGTTTCGAAACGGGACCTCCCGCAAGATCTAACGAGGACTACCTACCTTTATTTTATCCGATTTTTTCCGAAACGACAAGGTCCTCGCGACGCTGACGCCACCGTTCTTTCCTTCTTTCCTACTAGAATCCTGCTTCGTATACAATTTCAGGTAAACTTAAATCGCACCCGCATCGGACTTTGACTAGTAAGAAAAAGAATAAAATATAAATTGTCATTACGACTCAGTTAAATCATTTTGTCAAAAACACAAAGTGAACGTCTTACGCCACTTTACCATGTCTTACCTCTAAAGCCCTTCACACCTAAGTTTACAGTACTAGATTCTGATTGGTTGGTTTCCTTACGCTTACGTCTTACGTCGTTACGTTACTTTGGGTTTGAAGATCTTGCATCCTAGAGTGCTGACAGTCTGAACTAGGTAGACGACATAGAATATCGTATGTCTTGTAAGATAAGTAACT